GGTGGAGGAAGTTAGGAAGTGGATTGCAAAATATAAACAGGTTTGGTCAAGAACATGCATTACTCTCATGAGTGATGGTTGGTTGAATAAAGTTAAGAAGGAATATATTAACTTCTTGACCTTCTTGTCTAGCAAAGACGTCTTAGGGAAAAAGAAGGATTCAAACTTCTTGGTTCGACTATATGACCAGATAGTAGAGGAGGTGGGAGATAAGCATGTGGTCCAGTTTATTATGGACAACACGAGTGCTTGTGTTTTTTAGGCAACAAGTTGATGGATAAGAGGAGGCATCTAGTATGGACCCCGTGTGCTGCACACAACATCGATCTTATGTTAGAGGAGATCAACGAGATCAAAATTATGAAGGAGACTAGTGGAGGAGGTGGGAGATAAACATGTGGTCCAGTTTATTACGGACAACACGAGTGCTTGTGTTTTTCATGCAACAAGTTGATGGATAAGAGGAGGCATCTAGTATGGACCCCGTGTGCTGCACACAACATCAATCTTATGTTAGAGGAGATCAACGAGATCAAAATTATGAAGGAGACTCTAGATGCAGTGAGGGTCGTGTCAAGATTTATATATAACCACTCTAAAATCATATTTTTGTTCGGAGAATAATATGAGAAAAAAGAGATAATCAGGCCTGTCATAACCCGCTTTGCGATATATTACTAGGTTGTGGACTCCATTTGGGAATCCCAAGCTGCATTGAAGAGCTTGTTTACTAACGAAGAGTAGTCAAACGATCGCCTCTTGAAGTCCAGAAATGGGCTAAAAGTGAAGGGCATAGTTACAGATAGGAGGTTCTGGTCTCTGTGTTCTAGTTTCAGGTCACTGCCCCTTTGGTCATGGTGTTAAGAATGGTGGATGCTGATAAGAAAGCTACCATGGGCATCCTTTACAAAGGTATTGAGAGGGTGAAATCATCTATTGGGGAGAAGTGTAGTTTTGCTAGTAAAGTGATTGAGATTATAGAAAGAAGGTAGGACATCAAATTGGGCCGCCCAATTCATTATGCAGGTACATATATATTTATATCCTTAAAATGTTTAATTCCAAAATATATTTTTAATGTGCATTTCAATGACCTTTCTGTATCTATGTATTTTCAAGGTTACTACTTCAACCCAAAATTTTTCTGTTTGACACTTGAACATCCCCACAAGATTATGAAAGGGGTCAGATATATTATTACTAGGCTGGAGAGAAGCCATTGAACCAGGTAGCGGCAATACAGGAGTTAATATTTGGGTAAGAACTTTATTGAGTTGTTATATTTGTGAGGAATAACTAATGTACTAAAACAAAATATTTTTTTTAGTTTTTTATGTATAAGGTCGGAACTAGGCTTGCCAGGAAGTCTCGAACTAAGATGGATCCAGGTTAACCCCTAACTAATATTTTGCTCTTTAATATTATGAATTGTTCTTGCCCTTACAATGCTTTTTGCATTTTAATCCAGCTGAATGGTGGGAGATATATGATAGTGATGCACCTCACCTAAGGAGGATAGCAATCAAGGTGCTCTACTAAATATGTTTTGCTACTGGGTGTGAGCGAAAATGGAGTATGTTCCAATGGTTGCACACTGCTAGGTGGAATCGACTCGCTTCAGAGGCTTCATAAGCTAGTCTATGTTTATTACAACTTAAACCTTCGAGAGCGACAAATAAGAAAGAAGACTACAGGACGATAGACTTGGACACAATTTGTCACAGATACAGCAGAACAATGGGTCGTACAGAAAGACGAGCCAGTGTTGCACAAGAGAGCTTTTCTTGACGTTATCGGTGAGGAAGATCATGAAGAAGGTGATGAGCAGCATGAAAGAGGAAGCAGCCCGTCAACATATATCCACAATTCGTCGTAGATGTCGGTAGTGTTGCACCTAATGAGGGAGAGTGGAAAGGGAGTATGAGAGAAAATGAGAGAGATGATGATTCTAAGGTCACCCTATCCCAACCACATTATTCACATATTGAGTCCCAACAGCAAGAGGTAGGGGCGAGCACGATAATGTAGGTGAGTATGAAGGATGGACAAACTTCAGGGATTTGGATTAAGAGCGAAATAAAACACTAACACTCAGAGATTTGGGTAGTCAAGTGCCCAGTAAATTGGATGATTTGTTCCTTTATCAAGTCCATGAATTGTCACTTGAATTCAATCAATGGCACTAGTGTGACCGAGATGACGAATGACGTCGTCTTTCATTTTGGTATTAGGTTGTATTTTACTAATTGTATGCTTTATTGTAGTTCATGTATGATGATATACTTCATCCATGATAATTCTATGTTTCTCCTTTTGCGTGATGTAAATTTAATGGTTAACAGTAGTTCATACAGGGAAAGAACATATCAATATTCGCATATTGATGCAGAAAAATGAAAGTTCTTAATAGAGCACCCCCATTTCTTATTGGATCCCTAAAAAACATTAAATTTAAAATGAATTTTAATAATTTTTTTTGATTTATTTAAGGTTGAATCCAACCGAATCGGCTGATTCCTATCCGAATCGCTGATTCACTGATCTGAATGGGCTTTTGGGGTGCCCAATCTGGGGCACCGATCCGTTTTTTAAACCATTGCTCGAGACTATGCCTAGTTAAAATTAAGAATCTAAATTAATAGATCTTCATGCTATGCGAAAAAGGGACTAGATTTTAACATCATGTAACTTATGATTCCTAATTAATGGGAACTTCGGACAATGGCAACTTTTAACCTGGTATCATCCGTTTCTGAAAGTAAAACCCATAAACATAGAACCCGAGATTTTAACGTACCAAAACGTTAGACCATGATTGATGGGAACGGGGATCTATTCCAAAATGGAACTGGATTCCACTAATGGATGGAACGTGGTCCCCTTTTTTTGAAGCGAGATCATAAAATCAAAAAAGGGGGTCCCTACAAGATCCCTTGCAGGAACCGTTGGATCGAGGTTCCGGAGTGGGATCATCTCCCTACCCACAAGGTTCCCTTAACTATGTCCTAGACCCAAACCTGACCAGGTGGTTCCAGGTTATAGACCTGAACCCAAACCTTGCTTGGGTTGCCTAGTAAACCTCACCTGTCTGACACACACCGTCTTGACCTCATCTGTTGTTAGTTTATTGCCCTTTATAATCATAGCTAATGCTTTGCAGTGTTGCAAAAATTGCCACGACAACTCATTCTCTGATCGGCTTGGAATTGGGATCTCTCCAGTTCTGGATGGCCATGGATTGGATATTGGCCCCGGTTTGATGAGAATAGCCCAGTTCAGTTTACGTACTAGGCGATTCCTAATTGTGAGCAATCCTTGAGGAATAACTCAAGTCCAATAGAGAGTGCCCTTTTTGGTGGTTGAGATGGATGGACAAGATTCAATCTCTATTTTCTTTCACATGATCAATGAAATTTGTGCAAAATGTTTTGCACTACAATGTTTATATTCAAATTTCCCTAAAATTTATCCCTATAAACTATGGGCGGAGAATCTCTCTCTGTAAACTATGGTATATTATTTTGTAGAAATTCTTGAAACTTTTCACTGAAATGGGTGAAATTTTTTGCACAAAATTAGGAAAAATTTTTCCCTTTAAACTATGTTATTTTGCAGAAAATTTTGAATTTCCGCAACAAAATGGATGTAATTTGCATGAATTTTGCGGAAATTTTCACTTATGTGATCCCTTTAAGACATTCTCTCTCTAAACTGCACAAATATCAAGCGTATGATTTTTAAAGGAATAAGGGAAAAACTCAATTTTCCTAGCATTTGTTGAGTCAAACCATTTTGAATCATTTTCTGCCTTCAATCTAGGATTTAGGAGTTCTATTGATACTTTTTAGGGCTAAAGCTGAATTTGAAACTAGCTTTAGGAATTTCAGCGAGTTATGATGTTCTACATTTTAGGGCTGACTTACTTGGATTCAGTAAGTGCCTGAATCTGATTCCTGTTTTTGAAACATTGCTGCTTTGTGCAAGCTCAGCTTTGCCTTTTCCTTCTTTTATTTTTTAATTTTTTTTTTCTTTGGTGTTTTTTTCTTTGAGGTGGGGGAAGCAAGTGGAGAGGGTGGCTTTGTATTCTTTGTGTGCCATGGCTTCTCCTTTTTGGGGCCTGAATTCTGGGTTTCTGTCCTCATTTCTTTCCTCAAAGAGTGTGTTTATGGAAAGCTCCGAGCATTCACGTGGTGGCAAAGGCTCAAAAACATTCTTCTTGTTTCCCAAATGTGTTTACCAACTGTGCTCTAATAAATGCAGCATAAGCTGACAAATAACATCCAAAGTCGAAACTCACCTTAGTTACTTATTATTTGATATTCCTCTTACGGTGCCCAATCCTCAGGAGCTCTTGGTTTGCATTTTTGGATGTCATTCAGGATATATTGAGTTCCAAACATATCCCATGACAGAAACTCAAATTTCTATTACTTTTATAAAATTTGAATGTATTTATAGAAACATTTTCAGGAATGGGTGAGGCTGCTGATATATTTCAGCTTTTTGATAAAGGTTATGTTAGGGGTTCTCACACTATGGAGTAATTTATCATTGTACTCAACAAATTTGAACACTTTTATACCCTTATTTTGTACGTAAGGTATTTTTTTAATAAGGGTATTTTTTATCATTAGGAAGGATGTGACGTCATTTGCATGGGGTGTGACATCACCCACATGGGGCACACTGGTGGCATTTAATGTCCATGTTGGTGATGTCATACCCCATATAAATGACGTTACACCTCTCCTAATGACCAAAAATGTCCGAACTACAAAAAAGCTCCATGTACAAAACAAGGGCATATATGTGTTCAAATTTTGTTGAATAAATGATAAATTACTCTATAATGGGAGCACCCTAACATAACCCTTTAATAAAATCTGCTTATGGTGATGATTTTGGTTTTGGTCATGTGGTATTTGCTATCCTGTTTCCTTGTACTATAAAAACCTTTACTATTTTATTTGTTCTTCTCATGCTGGGTGCTATCTTTTCAGGTTGAGATCAGGGGAGTGATTCTTCTAAGTGTGAGCCTTTCGAGAGAAGTGGTTTCTGCCTTTGCTCGGATACTCCTCCATACGTCCTTGGGGAAGAAGCATGCTGTTGGACGTCTACTTCGTATGGAGATAACCCAAGTCATTAATCGTCGTTCATGGTACAATGCTGCGAAGTTGACCGCAGAAGTTCTTAATCTCTACAAGGTACTGTTTTTCTTTATTTGTGAATAAATTTCCTTTTTTCTCCGAGACACTTTTATTCACATTCCATTGTGAGCTTTCTTTTTTCTTTCTTGAATGACCCCCTTTACTAACTCTTCTTGTGTAATATTTTCAAATTTTGGTCTCTTGGTCACTTTTTTATTAGAAGGAATGCGGAAATATAATGGGGTGAAATAAGAATTAGGGTGCTGGAGGAAGTTGAACTTTCTTGTTTCTTTATTGCATGGCCCCTTTTACCAACTCTTCTTGTGTCATCTTTTCAAAATTTGGTCTCTTGGTCACCTTTTATTACAAATAATGCGGAAATATAATTGGGGGGAAATAAGTTAGGGGGCTGGAGGAGGAAAGAAATGTGATAGATATCACATGCATCACACAAGCTTATTTGAGGGGCTGGAGGAGGATAGAAATACGATAGATATCACATGCATTTTCTGATGCACTGTTGGATTTTTCCTTACTAGAATGCAATTCTTTGCATTTTAAACGTCAATTGTTGCAACAAGTCCAATAGATTCGGAATGATACCTTTTGAATTTTTACGTGTAATTTGTATAGATAGTACTTTTTTGTGTGTTGCGATGAGAGATTTAAGATAATTTAGAACAGAGTGCTTTTTCAAAATTTTGATGGTAATGAATGTGTAACAATCATAGTGAATCTCACTTCTTTTTTTTGTTGTGTGTGAGAGAGAGAGAGAGAGAGAGGGAGGAGGGCGGGGGGGACCTCTGTATACTTTCATGTTCTCACAGGCTTTGAATGTTAAATATTCTCTCAAAATTATTCTAGTTTCAATAAGAGAGTTGAGATTAAAAATGTTTTTGTTGATTACTGATAATAGTAATCAATGTTGAATGCAACAGGCACCACTTTGCATAGAGGGGTGGGACCAAGCTGTGGGTGAGATCGGGAGGTTGTCTTCTGCAAACACCCTCTCCCCAGCACAGGCTGACCTTCTCTTGAAGGCTGTTGACGACATCCCCGTTTTGGTCATCATGGGTGCCGAGGATGCTCACGTTCCTCTCAAATCAGCACAAGTTTTGGCATCAAAGCTTGCAAATTCTGTAAGCCCCTTCTACCTTTTAAACACTTCCATTGTTTTCATTCTTTTCAATGAAATTTGTTTTGTTTTATTGCTCTCCATCAACTCGGTCTTTAAAAATTAATTATATCTTTTTTTTATTTCGTTTGTTGAGTGTTTCTCCTTGCTTGATACAGACACTAGTTGCAATATCTGGATGTGGGCATCTTCCACACGAGGAGTGTCCAAAGGCATTATTGGGAGCCCTCACCCCTTTCGTATCAACAACTCTATTCTCTTCTCATCATCATCACAACAATCACAATCTCACATGATTTGTTTGTATTATTATTCTTTCTTGTTTTACATCTTTTTTCCTTTGATTGGAATTTTTTGAAGGTTTGTTCTTCCTGTTTTTGTTTTTTTTGTTTTTCTCCGGAATTTATTCACGTAATAGTGGGAGGGGCCTAGGTTTGTATTTTGGTGTGGAATTGGAGGTTACCCAGGTATCCCTTTGCCCCTCTCCCTAGGTAGGATCCCATTGTGCTTTCGATTAAAGGAAATGGAAGGCATAATTCCATTTGTATATTTTTGTTCCCATCGGCGTCAGGTTTTGTCCATCTTAACAGCATTCTCTCTCTCTCTCTCTCTCTCTCTGTGAAAAAGTTGGATTCCAAAGTAGCTGGACTCCATAGTACCAAACAGGTGCTTGAACCATCATTTTGTCAGTGATGTCCTCACAAAAGACATTACATGAGTGTATGACAACTTGAAGAATTGGAAATTTCTCTTGCCTGATATAATACTTGTTGGAAAACTGTCTGGCTAGATACAAATTTGATTACTTAGCATCATGAGAGAGAGAGAGAGAGATTGTTTAGCTTTGGAGATTTGGGGAATGAAGTCCTTTTTAGCATGATTTGTTGGGGCATGAAGCATGAACTACTGAGTTTGGACAAGGGACTTGTTCCCTTTTGTTTTCGGATTTTGCGTTAGTTATTGTATAACCTAAGGAATACATGCACTGTGCTCCATCGTATTCCTAGGACGCCCACCATTCAAGCATACAATAAGTGGTGCCTTTGTGGATGAACTTTATTCTTAAAGTACCATAGAAGGATTCAGCTGGTCCGGGTTGAGACCCACTCGACTAGGTTTAACTTGGATGATGGCCGACCCGGCTTGGGTTCAAGTCATTTTGACCAGAACCTAACCCGACCTAACCCGGCTTGGGTTCAAGTCATTGGATAGGGTCGTATCTGGGTCTACTAATAAAAAATAAAATGTCCATCTATATAATTGAAATATATGTAGTTAACAAATTTTTCTACCCTTGACGCCTCGTAAAATACTATTTGTTACATTAAGTAAAAGGTGTAAACTGTTAATTCACCCCAAATATTTGATCAATGTAAAGTTTTTGAACAATGATACTTACATCTTACTCGAGCTTTTCTCCATTTGATGGTGGAAACCACTGAAGATTCATCACTTTTAGCCGCTGTATGAGTGGTTCACGCTCGAGTTGATCAGTCTCGTTCCTTCTATAAATCTCTTCCCTCTTCCAATGTACATCATAACTCTTCCATCTTGTTTCTTTTGCCACCTGTCTCTCTCCAATGGACATGTATGCTTAATTCTTTTTGGGTTAGCATGCAAACTAGCGAAATTTTTTAATATACTGATGCAGTATTTTGATCATAACCAGAGTTATTTTGTAATGGGGTATTGAACATTGTGGTTTCAACTTATTTTGCTTCATGGTTTTTACTATGTGAGCATGAATTATGGATGGTTTTAGAAGTAGATGTGGTTTTCAACAAATGGGATTTTTTTGGTTCAAGACTAGTGGGTTGTTCTCATTTTTTAACTCCTGTTCAGATTCTTCTGTATTCTGTGTTCATCAAAATAAAACCAAAGTCAATTAATTTGAGATCTCATGGAGAGGAAGATGAAAAGTAGGATTTATGACATATATTTAAAGGGTGTGGTTTTTATAAGGTTACAACCTTAAACAATCCAAATTTTAAATAAGGCGCACGTTCAAATTTTATCATAACATGTAGTTTTGTTGTAAAAAATTCTTAAGATTATCTTAAAATATATTTTTATATCTAATTAGAAAATTTTAAACTCTAAAAATGGTTAAAGTCAAGTAGATCGATAAACATATGAAGATCTTGAAAATGGACGGTCTAAATAATGTGTTACAAGATGCTCGACTCAAAAACTTTTTTTTTTTCATATTCATATATCTCGATGTCAAGATTATCCATTAGAGGGTTTTTCAACATTAAAACGACCTTTTCGATAGATTTTTGAGATGCATATGTAATTCTACATTTTTAACGTTGCAACCTTATATACACTTTTTCCATATTTAAAAGGCTATCATGATGAGAATGGGGAGATACCAAATTAGAAAATATCCAACTCGATCCTTTAACATATCATGAAAAATACCATGAGCAAGACATCGTTCAATGATTAGAACAGAATTGATCAAGTAATTGATAATGGTGGCAATATGGTTCTCCACCATATGATGGTGGTTGTACGGTGCCTCTATTAGTCAAGTTAATATAGATTAAGTGGGTATCTAGTTGATAATTTAATTCTTGTAGGTTTGAGAGCACAAAGATTGATCATCATTATTAGAGAGCATAAAGATTGATTATCATCATTAGAGTCTTTTCTCAACTATTTGAGGTCGGCTACACAAATCTTGATTCGTCATTCTATTTTATCAATGGTCATATCTTCAGTGAGACCATAAATCTCAGTATCTTTTTTCACTACTTCAAACCATGTCCATTTGGGCCTACCCTTTACCTTTTTCGATCCTTCCACTTAAACCAACTCGCACCTCCTAATAGGTGCTGTACTGGGTCTGTGCTACATATGGCCAACCGTCCTAAATGTACTTCGCTTCTAAATTGATAAGAACAAAACATTTGCTTCTAATTTCATCAATGATAAAGGACTCAAACCTATTTTTCTTAGGCAATCTAAGTCCAAAGATTTTGATTATCGTTGGAAAAGTCATCAAAATCCATCCTTAACCAGCCATTATTTGACAGCTAAAGACTTAAAGAGCACAAGAGATCGCTTCCAAAACCATATCCACCTACATAATTTCTGTAAAAAAATGCATTCCACTCACGATTTAGTGACCAAAGCCAGTCGGTTTTCAGTTAGAATAAGTTTTCAGATAGAATCACAATCAATCACATAGCACCGACACCAAGCGTCCTCTAATATTTTTCTAAATATTTGCATCAATGTGCCAAAATTCGGGCTAGCCAACTCGGACTCCCACCCAGGTAAGTCCTAGTATCCCTGAGTTGGGTGGTCCGACTCGGGGATCTTAAAAGAATTTTATAAAAATTGTAAGAAATGAAAAATAAGAAATTTATTTATAATGTAGTTTTTTTAATTTTTATGTTTTCTATCATTTTGACAAAGATTAGTAAATGTTTTGGCGATGAATACTTATTTTTATAATTTCCTTTGATGAATACTTATTTTTATAATTTCCTTTATTTTTGGATTATTTCTAAAATACCCGTGTCATAAATAGTTTTTTTCAGAATCCATTTTTCACTACTTTTTAACCTCATTTACATGTGTTTTGTTTAATTTTAGTAAAAATTGCATAAAACTCCCAAAAATGAACTTTCTAATAAATTTACCTCCAACCTAGCGTTTCCTAACAACTGTGGGGTGATTGTGGCCATTAAAGGCTTTATGAGTGCTTGTAAAATGAAATGATATAATGGAATGTGAACTCAGTGGGAGTGGGGTCCCTCGTGGACTATACTAAGCAAATGATGTTTGTTGATACCGAAGTGTGCTCGACGGTCTCGGCCAATTGGTTGGAAAAAACCCATATTACTTAGGCACAGAATACAAACCAATAAAGGTCCTAATGGGTCATCTTTTGATGAGATCAGAGTATGCCCGGATGAGTGAGGTGAGGGACTGTGTGACCCTTGTATGTGATGGTGGCCTTCAGAGATGGGGGCTAAAGCCTCATCCATGTACCATTACACGACATGCATATTGATAGACTGTTTCAAGAAAGCAAGCCACATTTTCAAGGTGAAGCATAAGTATGTGCGAGAGATACCCCTATGTGCCATTGGAGTTATGGTCGCATCATGTCTAGGTGACATTGGCTCGTCTTTAAGGGAGAACCTAAAATTCACAGACTGGGATTGCGACTCCTTAGCTCATCAGCCAGACTTTGGTGACCCACTAATGAGCCTCTACATGGACTGTAGGACATGAGAAACACTAGGTCGGTTTATAGAGCAAATGTGGATTGTAGTCTACAGTTGAAGGTGGAGTGCCCTAGATTATTTATTCCTAGACCAAATGGATCCATATCCTATCTAATGAATTTAATTATGTTTATTTTATGATGATATGATTTTAAAATTATTATTTGAATTTCTTTAGATATCTGGATATTTTATTTATAAAATTTGGATTTATAAAAACAGATATATTGATTTTTAATGTTTTAACTATTCAAATTACTTCTAAAATCATTTATTGATTTTTAAGCATTTAAAAATAGCATTGGGGACCCGTTGTGTTCATGGGCTCACCATGCCCTAAATTGGTGGGGGGCAACAAAAGCCACCACATGGGTGGCTTGCCCAATTTTTTGGGGCTTCTTATTCCCATGAGGTAGCACGCCCCACTTTTAGGGGTTTCCTATCTTTTATGGGATAAGTGGTTAAAGAAGATTCAAGAGTTTTTATCTTTTATGGGATCAGTGGTTAAAGAAGATTTGAATAAATCTTTTAAAAAAAGGCTTGTGCATATTTTTAGATAAAACACAACATTATGATTAGCATTATTTATTTGACTTATATTGATGGGATAATAGTCAAAGGGACATAGGGGATAAAGTTTCTAGCACCTTCCATAATGTTAATAGCCTATCTATTGAATCGATGACTCAAATCTCTCACCCTAAAAGTCACCCAAGATCAATGGTTCATAATCAATCTCTCAAAAGAGGCAAACCAAGAAAAACCCTAATAGACCCTAATATTGTTTAAAGTTTATAAAAATAGATTGTCTCTACCCAAAATCTCTATATCTTATCTTTCTATTTCTCCTAAGAAAGTTTCTCTCTCTCTCTCATGAAAGCCCAAATGGGGGCATGTTCCACTCTCCCATTTTTGATATATTTCTTTCTCCCATCTCTCAATTATGAATTTATGGCTAAGGGTTTTAGGGTATAGCAAAATAAGAATCCATCTCTCTCAAACTAGGTTGCTAGGGAAATTTATCCAGAGTTTAGTTTGTGATCAAAGGGGTTCATTTTTTATTAGTACGACTTAACTTAAACTTGCTTTCCCGGTTGAGATTGAAGGTTGATCATTGATCCCACACTCTCAGATAGTGGTGACTCAGTGTGGGGTGTAATAAGCACGATTAAGGTAATCTCCGACACTCTCTATTTGTTTCTTATTATATTTAATTATATTATCTTTATATTCTCAAGCATAAGAATTGTGGATATTTTTTTTGATTAAAAGAAAATTGGTTTAATGGCATCAAGGTTTTTAAGATCTGGGATTTGTTAGTTTTATTTTATTTTGAGCAAAAGTTATTGTAATAAGACTACTTGGAAGTGATTTTTTCCAAAAGAAAAAGAAAAGAAAAAAAAAGAAAAGGGGTGAAAAGAAGAAAAATAAAAAAACATATTCCCCGTTAAGATCACATTAGTCTTTCTTTCATTGGTATCATAGCTATTGATACTTAATACTATTAGTTATCTTTTTTC